GTAGCCACCCACATAGAGCAACTGGTTGCGCTTTGTGTTCTGCCACAAAAAGAGGTAAGCACTGAGAGATTCCCGCAGTTCTGTGTCCATCAGCCCCTCGCGAACCTTCGGCCACATATACTTCGATCTCCGTCTCCAAGCCACTTATTTCGTAGCCACCCACATACAGCAACCGGTTGCGCTTTGTGTTCTACCACAGAAAGAGGTAAGCCCTGGCAGATTCCCGCAGTTCTGTGTCTATCAGCCCCTTGCGAACCTTCGGCCACATATAGTTCCATCCCAAGCCACTTATTTCGTAGCCACCCACATAGAGCAACCGGTTGCGCTTTGTGTTCTGCTACAGAAAGAAAGAGGTAAGCCCTGGCAGATTCCCGCAGTTCTGTGTCTATCAGCCCCTTGCGAGCCTTCGGCCGCATATAGTTCGATCTCCTTCCCCAATTCCCCAAGCTACTTACTTCGTAGCCACCCACATAGAGCAACCGGTTGCGCTTTGTGTTCTGCCACAAAAACAGGTAAGCTTTGTCAGATTCCCACAGTTCTGCGTCTCCTTGCGAACCTTCGGCCACAGATAGTTCGATCTCCTTCCGCAAGGAGCTACTTACTTCGTAGCCACCCACATAGAGCAACCGGTTGCGCTTTGTGTTCTGCCACAAAAAGAGGCAGATTCCCGCAGTTCTGTGTCTCCTTGCGAACCTTCGGCCGCAGATAGTTCGATCTCCTTCCGCAAGGAGCTACTTACTTCGTAGCCACCCACATAGAGCAACCGGTTGCGCTTTGTGTTCTGCCACAAAAAGAGGTAAGCACTGAGAGATTCCCGCAGTTCTGTGTCCATCAGCCCCTCGGTTGAGTCCAGAAAGGCAACGTAGAAGTCCTTATCACACCTTCCTTTTCGTTTTCGCTGAGGTTGTCAGTGTCACCAAGATCTCAATGCCCAAGTTTGTCTCGGCAAGCCGGACCAAGCCTCACGGCGGCAGCGACAAGCTCGCGAGCCGCCAGAAACCCGGCACTGTTGGCGCCGGGGCTGCCGGGCGGTTGAGTTAGCCTCCGGGGATGCTCTTCGAGGTCAGCTGCGCCTGATGGCATCTCATACCACGACTTTGTTGAGGCACCTCAGTGGTGCAACCGACCAGGCTGGCCTTCTAAGGGACTGGCAAAGGGCACGGGCCGCCCTCTGGACGACCATGTTGCTGAAACTTCGATATTGGGATGAATTGCCATGGAAGCTGTGTTCCTCGGATTGACTCGGACTCAGGCCGGTATTGGCGCTTTGCAGCATCTTTTTTGTTCGTTCTGCAGTCAACCCGGAATACTTAACTCTTGCCTGCTATCACGGGCTCTTGAGTGTTGAGTCCCATAATCCGGTCAGAAACAATCGACTCACAAAGGTGCCCTGGCACATGAGAACGTGCACGTGGTTCAGAAGACGGCCCAGCAAGTGTTGCTGCTTTACGACAAAGCTGCGGAAACTGACACCCCCGGCCCAGGCTGCTTGCACAGGATGACGCGTCGTTTCTGCCAGAAAGATTACGACGGCGGAGCTGATGACCCCGCTCTTAGACCGCTCATCGAACGCCTTGCTTCGGGTGAACCTTACTCAGACTTCCTGACAGACGAGAAGCAACCTTTAGCCAAATGGCTCTCTGCCTTCAGACATGTGTTTTGGCATGATGGCTTGGGCTTCGTTTGACTTCACGACTAGTAGCGTTCCTGTTAAGTTGAAGGCCATTACTTTGCAGCCATGATCATGAATCATGATGCATGTTCATCTGCAGATTCGCCAGACGTCGCAACCGCAAGATTCCCGACATGCCTCCGACATGCTGCCATCACAACACTCACATTTGCCAAGAGATTGTAATCTGAATGTTCGTAATTCCTTTTGATCCGTGAGTTTTCGGTCATCTATTTCGGTCAAGCCAGAACTCTTCGGCCAGGTGCGAGTGGTGGAAAGGACCGTCGAAGGTTTACACGCCTTTACCAACCAGATCTACAAACGAGCGCCCGCCAGCAAAATTGCTTACATGAGCTTGGAACTGCGATGGCACCTTTTGATGCAGAGCCAGTTTCGCGATCCTTTGGCCCCTTGGCTGCTTCAGCTTTGGCAGCATGATTGGCAGGTTTTGGTTGCTTGGGTTTCCTGACTACTGTTGTTGTGATCATGGTCATTATTGTCAAAGTGTTTTTGCCATGTTGGTGCTATTGCCATTATTAGACTGAGCGCTGGGCTCGAGACTCGAGGTTCGGGGCAGCTTCTTCGAAAATCACTAGTAATACGGTTGGGCGTCGTACTTGACATGGCTGCTATGTATTTATCCTAACAAGCAATCAAGCAATATGTGTAGAGATCTTTGCCGCTTTGCTGGCCTGGCGTATTCGGTTGCACGATCCAGAAGCCCAGGAGTCCCTGAGCCCTGAGCCCACAAGCGTCTCACCGAAGCCCTCGGTATCCTGCTGGAGAACACACATGCCGAGGAGCTGCAGAAGTTCATGCTGGACATTCGTGGAGTTGAAACACGGAATGGCTTCGAAAAGGTTGTTCTGTAACATGCTTGCATTCTACGATTTTACGGACACAACTCGCGAGTCAGAACTCAGCCTGAGTTAGAGACTACCCTGTGCTACAACAACAACAGCAACAACCACAAC